TCAAAATGATTGTTTTAGTAAATGAAAGACTTTAAAACATGTAGAAAAAGTACGAAAAGATTGTCGCCGCTGTGGGAATCGAACCCACGTCTTCGGCATTCGCGGCCTAACGCTCTAGCCACTGAGCTAAACGGCTGGCTGGTTCGATTCCCACAGCGGCGACAATCTTTTCGCACTTTTTCTACATGTTTTAATGTTCAGTCTTAAGTGCAGAGATTAGCACTATAAAACACTTTAAAATTTAAATGAAAGACTAGCAAAATTGTAATACGTTTGAGTGCGCGCCATTCTACATTCAAATCATTAACTTAGTAAATTTTAATATATACGTATATTGATAGGTTGTCACGCGCTAGTGTCAGGTCGTTTTTGTACTTCCAACTTTGTTTCCGTCTTAGAAGCGAATGCTTTGCCTGCAGAAGCTATTTCCAGGTCAATAACAAACTCGCGTGAACTGATTATTTTCGTACAACAGTCGCCATTGAACGCGTGATCGGACCTAAGAATTCGCCGAAAGGACCGACTGACTTTTCTGACCGTTCGGCTATTTCCGCGCGGCTTCGGCTAATTCCGTTGACGGCGGCCGATGACTCCGTTTGGAGCAAACCACTGGAAGAAAACGTTATTTATCCGATTTGAACTCTATTACGATGGCCATTGTGACGAAATTAACCCGCACCTTTCTCGTTAAATCCGAGTCGTTATCGCAATTTGTAACTGCAATAATTGTGATTTAATGCATTTGTCTCATTTAGAAATCTGGTGATTGTTTATGCTACTGAAACGGTTATGATACTGTTGAGGTTAGTTTTATATCTTAATAGATGGCGCTATAAACGCGACAAAACCAACCAAAATAAAAATGACTCGCTCACTCGTCTATTAATCTTAAAATAATTAAATATACCTTGTCCATTAGTTTTATCGAAAATTATTAAACTATTAAGGTTGTTTAAACTATTAACTTTGTATCAGGCCGTAACGGAAAAAATAAATGTTTAAATCTAATATCATAACGATATGATATTAGATTTAAACGAATGTAATATAATTTTATACGAATATAATATCGTATTTTAATCTTCGATAAAATAGTGTTAAGGCTTACCTCAGTGTGGAAAAATGAGCCCATATAATATGTGTCTGCCTCGAGATAGGTAAGGTAACCTTAACTTATTTTTCTTTTCTACACGCTTCGCTGAACATATCACAACAGAATCCTACGTTATAATATTTTTAAAGCCCTTCTAGATTCTAGGCGTCTTCTAAGGTAGGAGAATATTGTAATAGGAAATATTACTTTTCAAAAGATTTAACCTGACACCGCACGCGATGTCAGCTTGAAAAAGGTGCAATACCCACCACCCAACGGGCCGTGAAAGATCGATAAAAGCTAAACAATCGCATCTTGACTCTATGTAGGATCCGCCCTATTTATACTACCGTTATTTTTTTTAAATAAGTCAAAGGTAACCCGTCTCCAGCCAGCCGTCAACAAAGGCGATAGAGCACGTCCCGCGGCGCAGGTAAGATAGGGGCTTATTACAATTACACAATAGAACTGAACGCGCGGCCGCGAAACGCTGTCGGAACAAAGCGGCACGCGCCGCCCCACCCCCTTGATTTGTTGCGTTCGTGATGAATGAGACGTAATGGTGGCAATTATTTATTGTCTAATACCGATACTGAGCAACGGTTACAATTCGTGGAGGCTTAGAGTCGCACCGGTATAACCCGCACATTGAACACTCGCTCCGATAACAATCTTTCTCAGCCGTCGTTAGGTTTATTATGTCTGTCTGTCTCACTTTCACGCCAAAACTACTGAACTTATACTAAATACAATTTATACAATATATAGCCTAGAGCCCGAGAAAGGACATGGAAAAAAGTGTTCTAAAGGGTTGTAAGGTTAAAGAAAGATTTATTCAAGGCGAGCGAAGCCGCGGGCGAAAAGCTACTACTTCATATATCAATATTACAGATTATTATTATTATTCTTTTGTTTTTTGACCATTGTTCAACAGAGGACAACTTCCGGTTGATGATAATGATGATGTTTTATTTATTACATGTTTAAGTTCAAAGTTTTACGGTGGTAGGGCCACGCAGCAGCTACGGCTGTTGCACGTATGGGCAGGTCCGTCCGGGTAGGTACCACGACCACACAGAAGATCGGCGTTAAGTGGAAGTATAATACTTTCGCGTTTCGTCTGGTGAGTGGGGTAGCCGGAGCCCAATTTTCAAAAGGTTGTCAACGCAGCTGCAACCCTCGGGTGTAGCAGATGTCCATGGGTGGCGATATTCACTTAACATCAGGTGAACCGCCTGCTAGCTTGGCGACATTTCACATAAAAAAAAATGAAAAATTCATCGATAATCTTAACCGTTCAATTATTGATAATTTTTATTACCTAATAATGTTACATTTTCTGAGTAGGTCTACAAGCGGATCCAAATTTACGTCATGTAACGTCTTTAGTGAATCTCTTATTTTACAATTATTACTTAGCTTATTTTAAATGCTTTTCTGCACTTATGAGGAAATTTTAATTATTCTGTAAAAACAAAACACTCAGTTAGTGTTTTGCAACCCTTCATTACTGACGGTATGTATATGCGATGTTGTAAACATTCAAGTTAAGGTGTGTTTACACAGATAGTACGAATTTTTATTTTTTTTTTTTGTTTTTGTGAAAATTAAAAAAAGATTAAGAAAATTTCTTTAGGTCACTAGTTCATGGTCACTGGATCATCTAATGCATGGTCTCATTAATACCCTAAATCTATACGAATTCAATCTGAAACCCGTTCTATATTTTTAAATTAGACACCTACCTTATTTACTTAAGTTTCTCTTTTAGAAAACATTAATGAAATCATATAATAAAATTTTAAGATAACTCACTCCATCAAAACTTCGAAAGGCGAAAAAAATAATGACGCGTAGTCATTATTTTTTTTTTACAACAGATCAAGGAAGTATCCCTTACTGTACTAATGCAATGACAGACTCAGACTCGTTTTTTTTTTATTTGCATCTGGCCTGCACTTCACTGCCATCCCACCTGATGGTAAGTGGCGATGCAGCCTTTGATGGTAAGCGCGCTAGCTCAGTAAAAACCTATTCACTTTGCTGTTTGTAACTATTTGTTTCCCGCGACTTTACTCGCGTACAAAAAGATTCAGGTCTATTCCATTTGAATAGACCTGAATCTTTTTGTACGCGAAAAAATGCCGGGGGCATTTTACCTAAAGTATAATTAAATCAATCTCTTTGCGTTTGTTTCATTGCTCACTCTTACTCCATAGCAAAGGCGGACAAACCGACGAACACACTGGCACTTATAATGTCAGTGGCTTTAGCCTAGGATCGGTGAAGGGTCCGGATTGGTCTGATGCTGGTTTACTACGACCGCCCATGTCTACAGATATGTTTATTGCTCGCGACACGGCTGGCATTAAAACGTACTGCTTTGAATACGCGAAACACATTGTAGCGGGGACCACCCTGTACCTCCGTTTGTCTTTTGTTTTTTTTTTTTTCTTCTTTTGCACTTATATGGCTTCTGTGAATCGTGGTGTGGCCGGGTTCACTGGGCTTTTTTATTCCTACCTCCGAAAATACGAGTGTATTATGGGTGTATGATCGGTCCATGCAATGACAAAGACGCGTATATATTTATATATTTCTAAGATGCCACTGGCAATGTGAGCTGAGATGTTTTTTAATTATTTTTTATGGCTACTAGTCACGTGAGTTATCGTATTTCTTCGTAACGAAAGCTACAAAATTAACAGTAATACGTACAAATATAAATTTAGTTGGGATGACTTTCAAGGAAGTTTCAAAGCGTGCATGGCCAATTAGCACAGCGTTGTCTAGTGTTACTCAAGAACAGAGTTACATCCATACTGTGTTTTAAATAAAATTTAAATTTTATAATATTTGGTTTGCGGCCAAATTTAGTTTTTAAAAAAAAATTACTACTTAAATGTTATTCCACTCGATGAAAGCTAAGCAGTAATGTAATATTAAGTGGTTCAAGTGCATCAGCTATATGAAACCTTGTTCAATCTTTAACTGTAATCGTCATCATCTTGCACTGTTGTTCTTGTCTCCGCCGAACCGTTCTTTACCACCGTTATTCACCGTAGTGGTTTCATTCCGCCATTCTTCGAAATTCGCCGCATAAGTCAATGTTGCCAAACAAACGAACATAAAAAGGCAATCACGTTTGTTGAATCACACATCGTAAACATAAGGGCTAGGTGTCATGTCCAAACAAAATATGTTATTATTTAATATATTCTCTGTTCGCGTTCGTAGCTCACTGAATAGAACAATTTCTTCCATCTCACTTACCCTCAACAGCATTAGACGTTAATAGCCTTGGTATTAGTTTTGACGATGAAAAAATTTAAACTTTAACGTTTCGTATTGCCTTGAATTTATTTTTTTATTTTATGTGAAAAAGTGCTCAGGGAATAGAACAATTTCTTCCATCTCACTTACCCTCAATAGCATTAGACGTTAATAGCCTTGGTATTAGTTTTGACGATTAAAAAAATCTTTAACTTTAACGTATCGTATTGCCTTGAATTTATTTTTTTATTTTATGTGATAAAGTTTCAAAGGAGCTGGCGGTTCACCTGAAGTTAAGTAATAACCGCCGTCCATGGACATTTGCAACACCCGTAGGGTTTCAAATGCGTCGCCATCCTTTAATAAAGCGGGACCTCACTCACCAGAAGAATGCAGAAGTGTAACACTTCTACTTTACTCCGGTCTTCTGTGTGGTAATTACCCAGACGGATCTGCCCATTCGTGCAAAAGCTCTGCTTACTCATGCGCTCGCTTAAAACAGTCGCAGATATTCGTATCATTCCACCGAACGCCGGCCGGCACACCGCATTACGCACGCCCGAAACACATCGCCGTATTCGAAATTGACTTTTGTTCGAAAGTCGTCGTAATACGTGATTCACGGTCCGCAACAATGGTTGTTTTTGTTTCGCGCCAAAGCGCTCGGGTGTTAGCAACTAAATATACGTTCGACGCCCAACGGAACGGCATTGTGTCCGATATGATCGTGACCGGCCCGCCGAGGTGCCTATTAGCTCCCCAGCTTGCGCAACCTCCATGCCTTCAGCGGGTCCGCGTGATCTCGATGAAAAGGCTGCTCAAAACATATTCGGCTCGCTTCACGACCCGTCAATTCTTAGCGCCCCCCAAGCATCGTTGAATTTTGAGATGTACCACAGAGTGGTAAGAGTCGAAACTGCGTTGTTGCGGTGCGGATATCTTCACAGAGTTGTCGCTTATATCACTTCAATCATCAGCTTTATTCCCGACCAATTGAGTTGTTATTTGTGCAGTGGCGATGGATTATGAAAAAATAATCACGTTCGCCACAATATAGTGGCGCGATTCGACACGAGGAGGTCATACGATCGATATTACTTTTTGCCGTTCTGTATAGAGCATTGTATTTTTTTTTTTCGGTCTCCAAATTTTGAATAGAATTCCGCTATTCCTAAATATGTTTACGTCGAAATTTTTTGCGCCTTATTTCCGGACGATGACTAACCGATGCCGAAATAAGTTATACAGTCCCTGGATTTTACCGCTATATTGATGGATAAATAGATAAGACGTTGACTGGCGCATAAAAAAATTACGAACTTTGGTTGTATCGATGTAACTTAAAACATTCGTTTTTAAACGATTAAAATTGAATTTGATAGACAGTGAAGTCATACGTCTCAATACTCTTTGAGTCCACTGCTGAACATAGGCCTCCCCCTCAGACCGTCACGAAATACGATTCTGAGCCACCTGCATCCATCGACTTCCCGCACACTTGAACAGCTCGTCACTCCATCTAGTGGGGGGTCGTCCTACACTGCGATGGCCAGTACGAGGCTGCCACTCGAGAACCTTTCTCCCTCAACGGTTATCGGTTCTACGAGCTATATGGCCGGCCTATCGCCACTTCAGCTTATTAATCCTGTGTTAGTTATCAACACATCAGATTGAAATGATTCGCGAGGAAACCTAACGAGGAAACTTCGAGAAAAACTGAAACGAACGCAAATTGAAGTCATTAGTGGTTTTTTCTCCGTGGTTGCAATGGCCGCCGATGGAGACTTCAAGAGGTGGTTCGCTTCGACGGGTCAAAAGGCAATTACGCATTTGTGTCGCGTGGATAACAGAATATTATTGGATATAACAAGATTAGGGAACAACTAATGCAAGGAAAATATTTGCTTGACCTTCGAACTGGCCTATCCATTTCAATACTTATGGGTTAATGTTGCTCATTGTTTGGGTTAAACCGTGAGTTTACAATCGCACGCATTTTTATAAATATACATACTTTTTTTTGTTAATTTTTTAGATATGCCAACCGTAAAATACATATACATGAAAAATACTTAAATTTCCGCGATTAAATTAATTACGAATTACTGCGCGCTTTACTCCGTTTCGACAAATTGAAGTTTTTGACGTTGCGAATATTTTGACGTTTCGAATTTTTTACAGCCATAATGGTCACGCAACTTTCAAATGTTCAAAAATCATTTATTTAATTATTACGGAAAACGAATTAGAATCCTCCAATAATCATGTGGGAAAAATTGAATTACAAAAATATTTAGCCATTTAAGTTACAACAGTTTTTATTTAGGTGTTTGTGTATGTGAGTGCAAGCATGTGTCTGATATACGAGTATATAAATAAGTGACTTAGAAATACTATTTAGAAATAGTTCGTATAAAATGAAAGACGCCAATGTTTAGAAACATGTTTTTAAAGTATGGCATACACCCTTGAAGTCTGAAGGAATTGGCATGTTTTACTTTTGTCATAATAATGCCTCTACACGCAACCGAAAATTTTTTGAACGCATTAGTTCCATCAATTCGCTAATTTAACATCTCGTGATAAAACCGTGCTAAATTTTTAATTAACGAATTTTAACGGTACAAGCTCTCTTAATAATACGTACCCTACATTCAACAGGCCTTCCACACCTTGTTTAGTGGCACACTGTTAACAAGTGTAATGTACCATTTCCAATAGCTAAGTTAAAATAAATTGGACTATTTATATTAATAAAATATCACAAACCAAAGAGAGTTGGCTGGTATTGTTTACCTACTTTAAGAAATTGTATTGATAATTAATTAAAATCAACTATTTTTCTCTTCCCTCCAAAATTAAATACCATTCATTGATAGATAGTAGCATTTATTTATTTTCACATTATTTAATTTCTATTTGATAACTGGTTACTATATTGAAAAATATAATAACCAGTCAAATATGTCTATTATAATATCAGTTGTTAATATTATTTTTATTATATTGGTGTAGTGGAGGTCTTTAGCTTCAAGGTTTACTGCTGAAAAAAATTGTATGATGAGTTAAGTGTTTTAAGTGTCTGTGTCATATATCTATAATATGTATTTAAAGAATAGAAGAAAGAATAGAATACCATGTTTAGGTATATTAATCAGTTACTACTCATAATTTAAGCTTAGCTTAAGTTGGGACTAGATGAAGTTGTGTAAAATTGTGTCATCAAAGTGAAATAACGATTTCTAAAATATGTACAAATAATTAAACAATCGGACATCACGATGTAGTCGCTTCAAGTGCCTGCACCATGCCTGCATGTCGGCATATCACGATGTCTATCTCCTCAAAATGCCAAACTGGTGACATCACTTGACACGCAACCTTGGCTCCTGGCCTATTGACGTTTCACTTGCACTCGTCGAAACATTTGATCGGGGGTTTTAAAATATAAGACTAGTCGACAGTATTGTTAAACACCGACATTTGTGACCTTTCAATAGGGACTTGTGATTGCCCTTAACATTTCCTAGCATTAGAAAATACTATTATGCACTATTCGCAATTTAAGCCTCACATATCAATGAGATAACGTGCCGCTATACTAAGGCATTGGCTTCGGTCCTAGGGGTATTAGGTTCGATTCCCATACTTCAGTATTTGTGTGACGGATTGACGTCAAACAGGCGGCCGGACCTAACTAGCCCAGCCAAAATACCACCAGTAACTCGATTTCCATGTTGTTTAGACCCCACCTAGGTGGGAAAAGGGCGGGAGAAAGATGATGATATTATTAAGAGAAAAAAAATCACTCTTCAGTGGCTCGTTACAGTTTTAAGTACGGTAAGCTTTTGCTATACCTCGATATCCAAAGCCGCTGAAGGACGACTCAGAACTAGATAAACTCGATAAAACAAAGGACTCATTGTTATAACAATGGAACAATTTCAACTTTCACCAAAGCCATTGAACATTTTATAGTTGGGTGTATAATGTAAGATTGAATCGTGCCTTATGAGATAACGTTAGATGGTATCAAAATCGAGTAGATTTTGTATTTCTAACAATGCGATCGTAAAATTATTGTGACATATCAGCACCTCTATTGTTTCTCTAGTTTTGATCTGCTCAACTACTTACTGCTTATCTTAGCAGTAAGTAGTTGCTTACCAAATATAAATGGTGTTTTGCTATAAGGAGTACTCATAATCTCATGAATAAAATGCAGTCTGTTTGGTTATCTACGATGGTTTACACTTAACATCAGATGAACCTCCAGCTTGCTTTTCACCTTCTCACATAAAAAAGAGGATATTAGGTAGATTATCACCGTGTGACCCGACTTCCGAACCGGATATCACATGTCTTCAAAATTTTTTTTCTATATTGTTTTCGAAAATATGCAGATTTCGTCACGAAGTTTTATTTCAACGCCAAGCATGTGGTAAATCAGCATAATAAAATTTCAAGTAACAAAATTTCATTAGTGTTGGCACTGGAATTCGAACTCCGCTTGCTCGAGTATGTTGAATTTAATGCGAGCGCCCAGACAATGAGCTATCATAGCTCTAAATGTATCTTTTATAATTAATCCCAAATATGGTATTTCAATTATTTCTTAATTTCTTCTTACTCTCACTTGATGTATCCTTGACACTGACTCTAATTTCCGACCATTGGCCTCAGAAACATTACGCGGCGATTCTTTTGGTTCAAAGCCCAGCCTCAGGCATGGTACCGTCTGTTTTAGCTGTGCAAAAAGTGTTAGGCATTTTTTCCAAACAGCCTTCGCCCGACGATTTATCTCAAACGATTCGCGCTCGTTATTTAACACGGTGCAAAAACTTAATGCCGGCTTACCGCGTGCGTGGGATGGCAATCAATAAACACGTACGATCGTCACGATTCTCCGAAGCCTCGATGGCTACTAACGCCTTTTCTAATTTACATTCCTTTAGCCTAATTAGGATGGGCATTCTTAATTTTACATGCACGATGCCGTTCAACCGTGGTAGGGCCACGCAACAGTCTTCGTCGTTGCACGAACGGGCAGTGTCCTCCGGATAAGTACCACGACGTCACAGAAGACTGGCGTGAAATGGAAGTGTTGTACTTTTGCGTTTCGTGAGTTTCTGGTGAGTGAGGTAACCGGAACTCATTTTGTTAAAAGGTGGTAACGCATCTGCGACCCTACGTGTGTTGCTAATGTCCATGGGCGGTGGTTATCACTTAACACAAGGTGAACCACCAGTTGTTGCCACCTTCTCACATAAAAAAGTTACCTTACGTCAAATGCCTAATTACACTTACAATAGAAATCGTGCAGAAATTCGATTTACCAGAAGATAAGTTTTTATACAGATTTTCATTACTTAAAGCTCGTTAGTATATTGTATTGTCTGGCAATATATATTTTGGTGACTGTTGAAAATCTTCTTTTAATATATTGTCACTATGTTTTAATTCATTACTAACTGTGTGTAAGTAATTGTTGCATATTGTGCATTAAACATACATCATTAATTTCCTTTAACCCTAGTGAATAAGTAAGTAGCGCGAGCCTTATACCGGAACTGTACCTGTATCAAACTTTAAGTTGTACTCTTATATCGCTATAATCATGGATAACATCGCCAAGTTAAAAATCGTAATAAATTTACTATGTACAACCCAAAACCTATCTTCGAAGGTGATAAACTTTCAGTCAACTATCGTATTCTCTGAACTCTTCGAAGCGACGGCGCAACGTTGTAACATAACAATAGAATCGATATGTAGTTAGTTACACGAACAATGAACTCGTGGAGTTAACGTTTGACCTTATCTTGATACGATAAATACGATGCATTCGATGGGATGGTTGGTATGGTTCAAAGCTATTTCGACACCCTTTTTAGGGTTCCGTACCCAAAGGGTAAAACGGAACCCTTTTACTAAGACTCCGCTGTCTCTCTGTCTGTCTGTCCGCCTGCCACCAGGCTGTATCTCATGAACCGTGATAGTTAGACGGTTGAAATTTTCACAGATAATGTATTACTTTTCTGTTCAGTTACAAATAATAAAAACAGAATAAAAAATAAGTTGGCTTCCATACAATTGATTCCATGATTTTTACGGACCCTTCGTGCGCGAGTCCAACTCGCACTTGACCGGTTCTTACCTTTTTTAGTACTTTTTGAACGTTCCTATCCTAATAAATATGTAATAACCAATAAACATCTACATTTATCATATCTTGTTGTTGGACTATGAGACTATTAATACGAGTACTAAATTACATGTGGCATGTACACTGAATAGGCTACATAAATGCATACATTTATCGAAGTTGAACCTACGCCTACTTGCACGCATTATGGAAATTTTATGTTGGTTTGAGATCTCATTCCGTATGCCATCATAGAGTGATAAGAAATCGATCTATAGGATATTTATAGATGAGGGTTTATCTTGAATGCGTTTTTCATAATAATGCGCCTCTATATCCGGCAAAGGATGACTTCCCTGTGCGCCGACGCAAGATTAACAAGTTGTTAAAAACGATTTTGTAAATACAAGAACTTTCTCTATCGTTTAAAATTCAATACAATGACCTGGACTAATCGAAGTGATAACGACCGCGTCTTATAATGTCTACAAAATGACGTCTACTGGCGGACCGACACTTATGTAAAGTACAGGTCCTGGCGGTAATTGCGCAAAAATTATTTTGGTAACAAACCATGGAAATAATACCTGTGGCCGAAGACATCTTTATTGTTTTGTCTTCAAGTAAGCTCCAGTCTTAAATTGTCTCAAACTACGCGTGCTCATTTTATTTTAAACTTCTAATACTACTATTAGTAATATAGAAACGAAAAGTTGTCTTCGAAGAAAAAAATTCGAAAATGGAAAGTTCCAAACATGGTAGGTTTTTTAATTGAGGTAAAGTGCTCTTAGAAAATAAAACTTCGGAAATGGAAAGTTATTTTAGTTTAATTGAGCTCAAGACATCCGATTGCCCAATTAATATCATAGCTCGTGTAAATGTACAAAAAGTCAACAAGGGCACTAAATAAATTTTCAAAGTGATTTCGTGCGGACTAACTGCGCGCTCCGCCCTTTAGAAATGCTGTGGGTTTTTTTTTAATTTCCTCAACAGCTTTGACACACAACTGAACGGCAATTGCCGGATTAGATATGCCGCGGGTCCGTGACACGCTACCGCTGTGATGTTTTTTTTTTATAACGAAGTCACATTATTTCTTTTTATTGCCAGGAATGTTATAGGGCTGGGTGGATTCTTTATGGCCATCAATTGTTGTTTACTCTTACACGGCAACTGGCTATCGATTTTTATTTTGTTTTCACCTCGTATTGTGTCGTTTTGTATACATAAATTTGAACTCCGAATTGATAGTCTTTTTTTTTTGTTAACTACGCGCTTAAATCACACCGCCCGTTGTGGACTTTGGGCTTACGAAATGTATAAGTTATGTTTATGTTTCCCGCGTCGAACTGCGGTTTTTAAAATTCAATTACAAGGCTCTTGGAGGAATATTTTATAGATTGGATCAAGTTTACTTTATGATATCAAACAATCGTATGGGGAATAAATCTATGAAGCTGTCTTTATATGAACAGTGTGTCCGATGAGGTTGTATAAAATTATTTAGCCCTAGAGACTAAAAGCGAACAAATCTTTCAATAAAGAAATAGACAGACAGTAAGGCATGCCTCTATTCATACTGGCCGTAAACAGGTAATGAAGATCTAATAATGATGCTCTCCGAAAAAAAGTAACCCTAGTTTTAGACACATATTATGATTCAGATATTACATGAAAATCAAAGGCGGTTCGCATTTTTAATGGGATTATGTACTTTGCTTTAAACTTTGAAGAGCTTGGTGGATGTAAGGAACAGTTACACCAGTTCGCTCCCAATTTCACGTTTGAAAGCTGGGTTATGTTGATAGTTATTCTCACACTGACGTAATTTGAATTAAGGACACTTATATACCATTATGTTTACCAAACTATTGTCATTATGTTTACCAAACTATTGTTGAGTTTGATTTTTGTGATTCATACGTTTTCAAAAATCCATTGCCTTAGCAAAAGCGACATCTATAGTTATCAAATTCATTGTAAATGACTTGTAAGAAAATGTGTTTGTTGTAATCGAAGGCCGGTATATTGCGCCAAGCATTGCTAAAAATGAAATAGAAACAATAACAATATAGTAAACATAATGCTAAAAGATTAAAGCGTGTTTTATGAAGTTACTTCATTGACTACCGCATTGTCAACAAGTTCTGTTTTTTAGGGAATGGAATGGCAATTTTTTTGAAAAAAATTTTTTTTTGATTTCAATAAACGATTATACTTCCGAGTCTGAACCTCCTGTGTGAATTTGGGCACCCTTAGAAAAGACTCACTGTATAATATGTTGGGCGATAAACCTCCATCTCTGACTACTCAGGAACAAGTTAAAGAGTGAAGGCAATTCTGTCGATTGTTGTTGCTGTAGTACCATCGTTAACGTGTGTTGCCGGTGGCAGGTATTGCAACGCGACGTGGAATGCCACGGACGCATCGTGAGCTCAGTGGTGCGGCTGTGCGGCGGCGGCGACGCGGCCCGCGCCCTCGAGCGACGCTGGCACCTGCTCTACCTGCGTGCCATCGAATGGCAGTGTCACCTGGAGGCCTGCCTAGCGAAGACTGACCAGGTACTCATCGTATACAGCGTGTCGTTGCCATCGCGACAATAAATGAACACACGTCTAACGCTACTTGCCAATAATCATAAAAAAATATTAACGTTAAACAAAATCCATAATTAAAAAAAAGAATATTTTTTTCAAACAAACCAATTAAGTAAAAAAGAAACAAAATTTGTAACATCCTATACAACTCGCGCCACAGCGTCGCATTACAAGCCTCTCCTTCTAACAATATGTTTTGTTTCTTTTAAATTCATTCAACTCATTCATATGCGTTGTGACCTTTACAAATGAACTTTACGTTACAGTTTTATACGTACGTACGTTCTAAAATTATTTGTTTTGGAAAATTTAATAACTCTGTAAATATTGATGTTTAAAGAATGTAAATGTTTAATTCAATTTTAAAAAGTTATCCTCTATATGTGTGTTCATTTATTGTCGCGATGGTAAAGATACGCTGTATATTAACCCTAACAAAGCATAGTAAATGTATGACTCCTCGTAGAATCGTTTGACAGTCTGCAACGGTGGCACACGCGTACCTCATGTTCGGCTTCGACGACCCTCAAGCGACAACCCTAACAAAGCATTGTAAATGAGTTTCTTCTCGTAGTCAACAAGACGGAAAGGCGGCATTTCAACGGCGCCATTTACTAGAACTCAACTTTGAGTATCTAAAAATCAAGCCAAAATTGTATTTAGTGGCTTCATTGGACGTAACGATATTGCCTACGCAAACTATCACGTTAAAAGCTCCGTTTATAAATGAACTTCGCCGATTGTGATCGTGGCTATGAAGGAAAATTAAATCTACAGCAGTCGTATCCTCAAAGGATTTTTTAGGAATGTTTCCTTAATTAGTTTCAAATTCCTTAGGGTTGAAGAGCAGGCGCTTTGTGAGAAAGTGACGACATTACTTATTCGCTGTCTAAGTCTGAACGCCGACCTTACAACCACAAGGTTAATTGCCTGTGGAAATGTTTGGGGGAATTTCCGCAAATATATTAAAGCCATTGTTAAGGAAGTCTATTCGTAAAGTATCTACAAATAGACGTATTCAATTTCAGGTCGAGCTTCGAGAAATTTCTCTCATACACTCATCTCCTGATTTCTACTTTGAAATTGGTAGCTGTAATTTCATTCAAAGCAACGTGGTATTTGTTCAAAGTTTTTGCGACTTCTTGCGGGTCATCATTACGCAACAGTTGCTGAGTAACTTCGCTTTCAACGGACCACAAAAATATTGAAAGTATCTTTTATTCAGTAAAGAAATGTAATTACCTATTAACTCTCTTCCGCATAAAAAAAATTTGGACCTCTTAAACATATTGCCTTTATCTGTTATAAGTAAAATGAAATATGACGCTGATAAAACGTTATAATTAATCTTATTGAGCCTTTAATTACAAGTGTTTCGACTAGTTTTACTTTTTTTTTATAAAATTGTCGTTTCATAAAAAAAGGGAAACATCACCGATATTTTTTTAGTTTTTAAATAATTTGCGTTTTTTATGTGTGAAGATGGCAAGCGAGCTGTCGGTTCACCAGATATTAAGTGCACGGACATTTGCAACAACCGTAGGGTTGCAGATACGTTGCCACCTTGTAATAAAATGGGCCCCGGCTACCAAACTCCATACGTAACGTAGAAGTATGACACTTCCACGCTGGTCTTCTGTGAGGTCTGTGAGGTCGTGGTACTTACCCTGACCTGCCCACTCGTGCAGCGGCATAACTGTACCGTGGCCCTTTTTTTTAAATCCAGGATCTCCTACGGAATGCAACGGTGTCCCTCGGTACTGCGCGTGAGCACGCCTCGGAGAAGGATAAACCTTCCCCGATTCCCTCGCCATCTTGCAGCAGCTCGAGGCCAGTTCGAGCTGCTGCAAATCCGCTCCCTTTTTAGTTGCCTATAGCTGTTGCGTGGCTACCACAAGCGAACGTATTTTACTTTACTGTATTGATTAAATCGTATCCAAAATTTGTTCGTAATTCCCTTAGATACTGAAGACAATGAAGGTTTAAATTAAAAATGATTACCATTAATTGGGGGTGCAATGAAATGATTTAATTAAATCGCGAAAGAGCATCCAATTGCCTACATAAAATGATTTCATGATTTCAAAAATTCAACACAGGAACAACTCTCTTCAGACGTCGATGTCGTAACTACGAATCATTTTAAATTAGACGGACGATGAATCGAACGAAAGTCTCATTAGATTCGTCGCACTGCTTTCACGGTGTTACGTAAATAAACGAATAATAAGGCACACAACAGAAGCGCCGGGACGTAACTGTCGTTGAAAAAAAGAACAGTTCGTCTCGAATTCGCTTTCATTTGCAACGGCCCGTTAGCCTTTTTCGCACGGACCGTCGCAGCCTCGACAATGGACCAATCGACCCCCCACCGGTCTCCCCATAACAAAATAGACCCCCGAGCCGCTCTCAAAACGATGACATACGACGACCGTGGCCGAGATGGGGTTAAACAGTCAAATTGATAATCTAATGCCGCACGCGTAGCGTCAAAACATATATCATGTTAAGTTATCGAGTGAAGAAATTTATACGTGTGTAAAATACTTGAAATTGTATAAAATACATGAAAAAAAAATTCTTCCGAAACATACATTATAAGACTAGGATCCAGGATAATGCTCTGCATTTACTAAAGCTGATTTTCTGCCAGTTGGTTAGTAGTTATATACACTGACATACTGCGGTAGTAAGGTGAACTATAGAACAGGCGTATAAATATCTTATCAAACATTTCAGCGTTACGTTAGTAATAAATGGAGTTACTTACGCTAAAAATGAACATTTATGAACAAGCCACACGCAAAAAGTCTATAAAATTTTTTCAATTTTCGTTTCTATTAAATCAGTATTATTTTTTTAAATATAAATAGCATAAAAAAGCATTTGCTCATATATTAAATGTATCCTCATCTTTTATTGAGTTTTATCAGGTGGCATAGTAGTGAATCAAGTTGGTTTTAAAGAAATCGAGACATTTTCGTTTGTCAACTTTTGGCCACTGAATCAACCCTTACAGTTTACACTAAAGGGTCATTCACGTAACCCCTCGTCTGTGAATCGCTTCGTTAAATTCTCGAGAGTAACAAGCAGCTATTTGTGGCTACGAGTGACCTAATTCAATTACCGCATTTGGGGCGTACCTTTTAATTTATGTAATGGGGCCGAAATGTTTCTTTGGGGCCTTACAGTGGCGTTTGCTAGCCATAAATTAATTTATTTGAACCATTCATAGATCATATGAATAGGCCGAAAGCTCTAACTAGACATAAAATGTAATTTATTAGATACGGACTATTATAAAATAGGCCACAATAAATGGCTTGGCTTAATTTTATTCCATATATTATTGCTTGAATTGTTATGATTTAGAAAATTTATGTTTATATTTAGATCAATGTTTATTCACTACTATAATTTATTTAAAATCATATTGAACATAATAGAAATTATTTTAATCAAATCTGGATACCAAGAACATGTTTGTTGCTCTATGTATCTTGTCTATATGTTTACTTTTGTGTTATCTTTTTTCTTCAACTTTAAATAGTAAAGTAAAGTAAACACATAGACACTGTAGGGCAAGTACCGTTAATATCAAATATAACAATTTGTATTAAACTATTGAGGCTCGTAAATTGCCTCCATTGAAAACTTCATCTTCTTCTTCAACTTCAAACTTTGAAGTAGTGCGATGTGTAGAAACAAACTCGCAACTGTATTGTCAATAATAAGTATGAGTAGACTCAGTGGTGCATTTGCTATTCGGCGCCGAGGGTCGTGGGTTCCATTCCCACAAGGGACAAGTATTTGTTTGACCCACAGATAGTTGTTCCGGATCTTCTTGTTTGTTTCCAAGGAGTGTAGACTTCAGGTAGGCGGCCGGTCACATGTTGTGCCGACCCCACTTAGGTGGCGTCAGTGTGTCAAGTCGTGAGTTCAGGGCGGGTTCTTGCTCGAGTGGCATTTCGGTTCAACGGTGGCATCACGTTTCCAGGGTTGCGCGCCGACAGAGGCCGCGAGCGACAGCGACGAGGAGCCAGCCCTGAAGCAGCCGCGGCTCAGTAGGCGGGGCTCGCCGCGCCGTCTGCGTACACCGCAGGCTCGAACCCGGATCCGCTCAGTCGACAGCCGCCAGTCCGCATCCGAGGTAAGGTATCCTTTCACAGAGCTGTTCCATAAGGAATAGATCGTGTGTAGCGGTCTGTGGCCACCAATTGTATGGTTTTGTTGTTAAAATGCTTCGTAATAAGTTACACATTATGTGCTGTCACTTAGCATATCAAAATAACCATGACACAATCATATTGAAAAATATGTATTCTAGAGGACGTATTGTAAAAGTTATCACTATCGTGTCTCAAATTAATCATACACATTTCGGCCACGTATCCTTTAGACACTTCAAAAATGCTGAAAAAATTACGCTACACATATTATTTTTCAAAAATAATGTTAAGTTATTATACTAAAGATCCAGCTACTGAAATCCGAGGAAACTGACTGTGTCTCGCGAACTGTTTTAGTTTCACTGAACTGTACTTAGTTTACGATAGGTACTAGAACTATGCAATCCCTTGTCGTTGCAATCTACGTTGTTGTCGAAATCGGGCCTTGAATTTTTTTTTTGGACACATTTTTACACAACGTTTTCTAGTCCCAAACTATGCAACGCTTATACTATCTATGGGTACTAGATAACTGGTAAACATACTTAAACAAACATTTCTTTTGTAAATAAATACATATTATATATATGTACATTTTTCAACTAGTGTGGATCGAGCCCACACCCTCTGGCGCAGAAGGCAGATGCACTACCCACTTCGCCATTGCACATACATTATAGCGTGCGTGTGTTTACGTTTCTCTGTGTGTGTGTGTGTGTGTGTAAATATTTGTATATCCCACGGCCGCGCAGGAGGAGCAGGACGATGTGCTGAGCTGCGCGTGGCGCGGCATCGGCTCCGACTCGGATTGGCGCCGCGAGCGCGAGGTGTGCGACATGGAGCGCGCCGATGAGCACCTGGTGCCTGACGTGTCCGTCACCGACGGCAGGACCGTCTCCGCCGCGATGCGACGGCTGCACGGTAAGCTTTATATCCTATAGCCAGCCCTGTAGTCTAGGGCTCATAGAATAGGCTGTGCTGTCTATTTATCTATCTATATCTATATATCTATCTTTATATCTATCTATTTATCTATTTAGTTATTTATTCAGCTATCTGTCCTCAGCGCGTCGTAAAGGGTAATCGCCTTTAAGTGGACACGGAGTGGCAGCAGTTCGAAGTGGCTGTTGTCTACAATTGACGGGGTATCTTTTGAAGATTTCCCGCCAGATAGAAAAAAAATAATAGCTCGGTGGTGGTGGGCGGAATTTGTCGCGTCAGCGGCCACAACTAGTCGTCCTCCGTTAGCTGACGATGGTATCTGAGGACGGCTTAGTCTTGACGTTAACTGACTCTCGTTTAGATCTAAAGAAACGCACGTAACCTTATCGAGATTAATCTTATTTCTTTGTAAGTTAATCATAATTTTCATCAATACTATTTTGTATGTTTCTAATTTTAGAAGAAACGAACTTCATATTGAATTATATACTTCTTGTGATAATAAATTATTCTTTACTTAAATTTGAAAAGAAATATTAATCTGTCAAACTCAACGAGGTTGACTCACCTTCACATTATCATAAACCAACATAAGCACCATTCACAGCAGCATTCACTTATCTCCTTCTTGTGAACTTCACATGCATTACAGAAAGTTGAATTATTTCACATCGATTTTCCGCAATTTCCATAAACGGCGAACAAAGAGCCAATCGGTAACAAACCATCTCGCCGCATGCAAATACGCATCCGACTTTCCATTCTCTCACGCGATGCGATGAAGCGACGCGGTCGACGGCAATGGCCCGCTATTTGCATAAACAAACAATGACACTATGAATCGATCACCGGCCGATATTGCTGATATTGTTCGAATGCCGTCGGAAGCAAAACAAACAAACAACAAAACGAGTGTAGCCTTACAAACGCGAGCGCGTCTCAAACCCCAATCACTGTTGCAGAGCTCAGCGCGCAGGAGACGGAGACGATGAACTTCCACGAGCCGCCGCGGACGCCGCCCACGGTGGTGAAGAGGAAGAAGCCAGTGAACACGTCCAAGTTCAACCAGACGGATCGCAAGTCGAGGAACTGCGCTACGTTCTACTTCAGGCACCACGACACGGACTCCGACGGGAGGCAGATGGTGGAGACGGACGAGAAGTCGCAGGAGGAGTCCTCCGAGGAGGAGTGGACTTACGTCGGCGGCCCTAAGGTGGCGAACGAGGACTCGACGGACTTGATGACGTCATCCGTGGAGATCCAATGCGAGCTGCCTCTCGACGAGAGCAAGGGAGAGATCCCGAAACCCAAACTGGAGTCCCCGACGCCCGACCTGTTGAAGGTGGAGGCGAGGTGCAAGGACATAGAGAGGCTGGTGATACAAGCCGAGGAGCTGGTGCAGAAGCAGGCGCAACAGCAGATGAAGAAGAAGGGATCGAGGAGCCTCAAGCCGCTGATGTTCGACGAGGAGGGGAAGTCGGTGAGCCGCGTGAAGATGTCCCGGATAAAGGAGTGGCTCAATCAGAGCACGGAAGGGGAACGCGCCAAAAATGATAGCAATCAGGTATTTATTGAGTTTATATTGTTTTTTTTTTTTTCGAATTTATCTAATGTCAATAGGCCCGGTGTACGACCACTTCTTATTGTTAACGTTTCGAAACCCCGTATGTAAGGAATTCACAGTATAACATTTTTTTCCATCGTAAAACCTTGTCAAGTATGAAATATGGTAATACACTCAATACGATTTAGTAATCGACGTTAATAGCCGTAGGTTCTTCCAAGTGACAAAGGCTTTTTTTAGTCTTCTTTCGTGATCAACCGAAAATCGACCGAGTTCCCTGAACTTATGGTACTTTTTCCAGGGAACGGAAAACTACGACGCCTCCGGGGAGTACACCACGGAGAGCGAAGTGGACACATCGTTGACTTCTGAAGAGCGCAACTTGCATTCGTCTATGGACATGAGCACATCCACTTGTACCGTCACCCCAACCCACCAGGCCAAGGTAAAAGCAACCTTATAGATGTACGCTAAGCTTCAGTTTTATTTGCTTTATCCGTTATGTATGACGTAATTAACGCTAATAATTTACAACAGGCAGCAAGTGTGTGCTATGTCCACATTAATGTTTTCCTTTTTAAGTTTACTTTGGAAGCTTAAGATATGCTTATGATTTTTGCTGACTTGTGATGAACAGATTTATCTCGATAATTTCCCTCATTTTATTTTTCTCGATCATTTAATTTATTTTCACATGAACAAGAAACGTGTTTAATATTTAATTATCCATAAAAGACTTTTTACAATCGAGTTATCGCAGCATTGAATAATTATGAACTATTTTTTAAATCTTACATCACTTTCCTATTCGTGTATTTCTCCGCCTCAGAGGCGAATAAATCACCGTTCCGTTCACCCACACAAGTCCGTTAAGCGGTGGACATGGTGGATTGGCTAACATCCCCCCAACGTAAAACGCCGCTGTTATGCGTATAACACATGATAAACACAGAACACTAACACACTTACAAAATTATAAAAGCAAATCCCCCCCTCCCCCCGTAAATCCTTATAAAACTACCCCTAACCCCCCCCCCCCCCTTTCCACTCGCGTACTCGTACAACCCGTCCATTTTGCGTACAACTGTGACCAACTCCGAGCGGCCGGCGCAGGTGCAGCTGCGCAAGAAGCGGGGCGGCCCGCGGCCGTGGTCCGTCTCGTGCCTGTCGCAGCTGCCGGCCGCCCAGCCCGCCGCGGCGGCCATCGCCCACACGATGTCCATCTCCGAGTCGGCGCTGAACACGCTCGCTTCGCCTGCGCGAGTTGCGCCCGCCGACTCGGACAGCAAGCTGCGCGGCAGCTCGAACACTGTCCAGGTGAGCTGGTGGCTGAGCTGGCTAGACTGGCTAAGCTGGCTGCGCCGGTCCCGCCGGCTGGCTCGGCTTGGATCGACTCATGCCTCGCGGGGGTTGCCGTGTCTATTGCTCACCGTCACCGCCATGTGGCTGGATCGGGTGCTATCACCCTGGATCGACTGCGACTGCCCCGCGGAGATTTCGAGGAGGGTGCCGTGTCCATTGCACCGACATGGCACTGGGTATTAACACTCAGAGAGAGGCGGCCTAGGAATGGCTCGACTTGTGCTCCATTGGCTACCAAATACCATGCAGGCGAGCTAGCTGCGTTGATTGATTCGACTTTTGCCGCATTGGCTGCCGAATGGTCTTGCCTCTGCTACTCTGTCAATACAGAATCTGAAGTGTGATTAGATCGCTTCAGCTCTCGGGGATGTACGTTTGTGCGCAAGCCTATAACTATGCAGTTCAGTTCCAGACTTCGAAGCATCCCAACCACTTGCGCAGTCTATTGGTTTCTCAGTTTTCGTATGGATTAGAGTGGTGACTGGCGACACAATTTAGCCTCTTGTAAGCTGTCTGACTGACTAAGCCTTTAGTTATTACCCAGAGGGGTTTGATCAGGAATCACGACTTTTTTTGTACTTTCAGATATTGGAATGATTGTCTAATTACAATTTGTGTTAATAAATGTACTCTGTGAATAATGCTTTAGCTAGCTCGCTTACACCCATGTCTTAATCTAAAATCTTAGGTCCATCACCAGATCCAAAGAGAGATGTGAAAACAGCGTCTCTAAATTAAATGCCTTTCAATTAGTCATTAACGAATGTTAACAGCTAAAAATAATTATTTTTGTAGTAAATAGTTGGCCACAGATATACACGGAGCGAGACAACGATCCAGCCACTGGATAAACTCCACCCAATCTGACTAAAGAGAAAAAAATAAGTTAAAAGTTACCACCAAGGCTACGCGAAGGCCTTCTCTATAGTGTGGATATTAAATATATATAGTTAATAGGGCCACGCATCAGCCTCTGCTGTTGCATGAATGGGCAGGCACGTCTAGGAAGAACCATGAACAAACATTTCATTCGCGTTTCACTTTTGAAATGACAGAATATTCACTTTTGCAAAGGATGATAACACATGTGCAAACTTTAAAATTTGTAGAAAAATCTACCAGGTGATATAGATGTACACGGATGGCAGTCACTTGCCAACTCCTGGCAAAAAAAAAGTCAAACCACCACATACAACTGTGATCCAATTCGACTCCTCGTCCGTCAGGGCAACGTGTCCAGCACCAACACGATGACGGAGGCGTGCACCTCGTGCGTGGAGGCGAACGAGAAGCAGTGCTGGCTGCGGCGCAAGCGGCTCAAGCTGCGCAGGCACAACGCCCCGGAGCGGCGCGACAGGCTCGTCAAGTCGCTCTCCTTCTGCGGCCGCCTCAGTCCAGAGCGCGACGAGAAGCACGAGCGCAGCGCCGCCAGCGACCCCGCCACCAGCCGAAAGACCAGGTACTGCTGACAGGCTTGTCGCCCGCTATTGTTACGTACCTCCGGATCAACCAGCCACAAGACCAGGTACTGCTCACGGAGACCGCTGACAGGCTTGTCGGCCGCTATAGTTGGGTACTCGGATCAACCAGCAGTTCCTCGGTGGTAGGGCCACGCAGCAGCCTCGGCTGTTGCACCAATGGGCAGGCTCGTCCACGATCTCACAGAAGACCGGCGTGTAGTGGAAGTATAATACTTTCGCGTTTCGTCTAGTGAGTGAGGTGGCCGGAGCCCAATTTCCAAGAAAGTTGTCAACGCGTCTGCAACCCTCGGGGTAGCATATGTCCATGGGCACTTCTTCCCTTTACATCAGGTGAACCGTCTGCTCGCTTGGCAACTTTTTACATAAAAAAAAAAATACCAGCCGCAAGACCAGGTACTGCTAACGGAGGCCGCTGCCAGGCTGGTCGGTCGCTATAGTTAGATAACTGACCGGTCCATCTTTGAAAGGAGTCCGGCTACACAATCAGAATCCACTAACAGTGTTCACAAAAGCCGTAAAAAAGAAGCGTCGATATTTTTCTTTTCGTCAGACATTTGTTGCTGTTGCGCTTAAAAGGTTAATACTAATATTTGGTACAGTTTTTACAAAATACACGAGTTCTAACTTAACAAAATACAAGTATTTTGTTAAGTTAGAACTCGTGAAATAACTGTATTTAAAATCTTTAATAATATCTTAGAGCTAGCAATCAGCAAGTAGATCTTTTTAGCCTTCAATTTCATAACCAACTATTGTGCAATAAATAAGTCCTCTTTCGAACTGCTTTATGTTATACATCGTCCGTAATTACAGGTTCGACACAACATCCACATCCGGCAACGACAGCGACGAGGAGTTGATCAAGAAGCAACTGGCGACCATCGCCCATTTGCGCAGGAGCATCGAGAAGACGCACATCTCTGTTAAGGAGCCCGACAGTGCCATCCCCGAGCAGAATGAGCCGGAGGCGGTGGCGCCCAGCTTCAAACTGGGTCCCGAAGGTGGCCCAGTGAGGCCCAGACTGACCAAAAGCACCGAGAGGGAGAGGTCCTTCCTCGCCCTTAGTCTGGGCGACCCCAGCCAGCTCTGGGACCTATGCATAGACAAGGATTCCGACATAGACAAGAGCGTGACCGCTGGCACGGAGGAGCACAGCTCGTTTTCAGAGCAAGCCTGGGACTTCTATCAGGTGAGGTTGCCATTATCTTTGTGCTTTATCGCACTAACCCATCAGTTTTTTAGTATTTCCTTTGCTGCACTTTTAATGTATCGATTTATATCAGACGAAAATAATTTAATGCCTTTATTATTGGTTCAATTTCATATAATAAATGCCAAATGTCATTGGATCCGATGGTTGAAACAACTGTTCGTGTATTTTTAACAATAATCTTATAAGTTTTTATATTTCGGAAAATATGTAGGTATTATACTTCGAGTCGCATATAAAATGTTAAACATTGTAGTATTATTAGAAACCTACCTACATGTGGCTTTATCCAGAATGCTATTCTCTTTCAATATTTGATTGTAATGTCTAATGTTTTTCTATACGTTGAATAGATATGATTGTATTTTATTTCCCGGTTCCGTACACCCCACGAGCCGCGAACATTTTTGGCAAAAGGAAGAGCACTCTACAGCCTCACAGCGTTATTCGAACATGTTAAAGAGCGCGCGCATCTGTCCCCGCCCCAGGAGAAGTACAACTCGGAGCCGTACTCGGAGGCGCCGGACTCGGACGCGGCGCGGCGGCTGCTCGAGTTCGGCGACGACTACCGCGCCTACCTCGACTCGCAGTCCGACTGCTGCTCGAGCCTGTCCGCGCAGCCGGAGCGCGAGAGCAGCCCGGCGCGCCGCCGCCGGCCCGCCGCCGACGCGGCACGCCCCAGGCGCCCGCCCCGCGCGCCCCCCGCCGACGCGCCGCCCCGCAAGCCCCGCAGGTGCATCTCGGGCGCCGAGCGCAAGCGGATGCTCCTCGACGGCCTGCACAGGTCGAGGACCGGCGGCGACGGCAGCAAGCGCTCGCCCGAGCTCGACCTGCTCGACGCGCACGCCCGCCGCGGCTCGAACCCCACCAGCGACGAGGTGAACAGCTCGCTCGAGTACGCCGACGCGAACCGGCCCGACATCCTCGACTCGCTCGGCAGGCGGAGGCACGCCGACAAGGAGGCCGGCAGCGAGCTCAAGAAGGTCGCGCTCTCCGAGCTCAGGCGGAGGTCGACCGAGGGCGCCGACTCGGAGGGGGGGTCCTCGGGCCGCAAGAGGCCCGGCGGGGGCTGGGGGCGCGACTCCGACTCGGAGGCGGAGGAGGTCCGCTCGCTGGTGCGGAGGTCCGGCGCGCAGCTGGAGGCGGCGGAGGCGGCGTTGGCGCGCCGCGACGCGTCTCCCGACCTCCTGCGCGCCTTCGACTACGTAAGGACCCCCTTCGATACGGACTGTGCTAGTTTCGCGGGGGCGGGCGGCGGGGGCGCGGTCGCCCGCCGCCCCGGCTGCCTCCGCGCCAGGATCTGCCTCGCCGTGGCCGCCCTCTCGATACTGGTCATAGTCTACATACACCTCCGATGACGTTTGGCTTGGGCTTGCGCTATATTTACCCCCATCTATATAAGTATTAGTATCGAGTACGCTGCGATTGTCAGAGCGCACTTCCGATCCATTCCGCTGGTGCACAGATTATATGTAGTGTACAAATCGTTGCATTTATTCGAATGCATGTTGGTCTGACAAGCGCAGTACGATATCTAACCTACCTACCGAAGTTTGTTGTACTATACCTAGCGGGACGTCCACGATAGCTGTTAAATCGGCGATTTGATGACTGCCGTGGACCCTTCCCGGTCTACCCAAAAGTATTTTATATCAATCGTGTGTAGTATCACTTTTCAAAATTCAATCTTTATTAGAAATGTAATTATTATACGTAAAACCTTTGAATATATCTATGCAACCACTAACTATGATATCGCAAGTGAAACTACCACAATTATAGAAATGTTTATTTGTCATACGTTCTATTTCCCTGTTTTATTACTATTATTTAATTTGTTTAATCTTCCTTAATACTAACAGTGTTTTGATGGCCTTGTGTTTGTGAGTTGTGTAGCTTTGATTTTTTTTTACTAACTGCCTGTCCTTTATTATTAATATGAGTATTTATTTACCTTCGAAGTAGGTCGTACTTCGCGCTGGTGGTGATAACTCGGTGCTAGTTCGGGTCTAACTTTTAGATATATCGTCAACACGAAATGCATATATCTATTTAAGTTGAAAGTGGTCCTTCGCGGCTGCTAAACGCACAGCCTTAATAAAAAAGTTACCAGTGTCATATAATACGACTAAATATTGATAAAGTTGCAATCAAGCTGCTTTGCACCGCGGTAAGAAGGTTAGAATGATAAATCTAACCCATTAATGGTTACTAAAATGGTACTTAAATACTTTTAATTATCGTCTAGATGAATAGTAACGTAACTAGAGTTCTTGTCATTACGTGATATAATTTAAATTGTAAAATTATATTTTAAATTAAGAATCATTAGAATCGAGGTTATACTTATTTGTTGTTATATAATTTTAAAACGTTAACCGAAAGTCTCGCATAATCTTATGATGCTAATGTGATTTGACTGAACTCCGCAATATCTCACAATGTAGCTTTGTATATTATGTACTAATCATAGTGTTGATTAGGGTTAGGTTGTTAATTGATCTTTTTTTTTTTTTCATACGAAATGTTTAAAGGAATTCAAGTGAACTTTGTATAATTTTTAACAAAAATAAATATGTCAGTTTGAAAAGTAAAAATGGAGTTTCAGTCAATTAACACCCTTCTCTATCAACAGACCGAGTATTATGCAAAAGCTGTAATGTTTTATTTATTCTTACAAAGATATCGCAGTGAGGGATTAGTCGACTGTGGTGTTGTTTTTTTTTGAGTTTGGCCATAAAAATGTCCCGAAAATTTTGGGGGTACCCTAACTCGCTTCTCTAATATGTGTTTGGCATGTGATTTTCTTATCCGCTTCTGCACTATAGAAAAGTTTCAAAGTCAATGGAATTCCTTTTTTTTAAATCATCGCATGCTACCTTTTCTATTTGTTTTTTTTAAGTTCGAAACGCAAACGCATGTGAAATGCACTTGATTTTTTTTTCTTATTGTACATTTCGACGTGAACATTACAGTTTGAGCCGTTTTAGTTATTCAATTGTCCACGGGGATTGAGGGAACATGTGGGGCAGGGATAGGGGGCTTTAGTTCGTAACTTTTTGGTTTTTCTTTTGCGAATTTAGTTTTTTTCGGTGCACAGACGGAGGTCGTTACGAGATGCCGCGAGAACATCAACATGTTGGACGCGGCACTCGCTGACGGCTCCGTTTTGTCGTCCGCGTTGCAAAGGGACATAAGAGGTTTGTCAATTGAATTTTTACGCTAGACAACGGACATAGATATCGCATTTCGGCCAATGTGCACATATGGGGAACTAGGGTTACCAGGATTTTTGTGGACAAAAGTGTTTAAATCCAAAAGCGTTACTCCTTACTAACCATAAATTTAGATATACATAGAACTTGCCAGTTTATTAAAAAAATCTACACACGTGGCCACGTTGGTCGACCAGTTGGAAGGAACTTTCGCTATTTCCCAATTTCCGTTCATCACAATCAACAGCTTTCATCATTCTTTTAAGTCGTCATGTTCTAATTCATAACAGACAAAAATGTCGCACCAAACAGTACTATAAAATTACCACGAAATAAACTATTCATATAATTATGTAAAAGCCGTATCGGATCTTGATATGTACTATCTAAGTATTATCGGCTTAAAATCCATATCGCTTATCAGACTTTACGCCCTGTAGACTGTTTGACGCCAAAATTAAATAATTACTAGATTAACTTTATTATGTTAATAGTTCAGTAAAGTTAATAGTCAAAGGATTTATTACAATGTGAACATAATTTTAAAATTCGCCGGCATTTATTAATATGGTCAAAAGTCCTAAAAACAAAACGATAAATACAAACTTTCAACACCTCCGAGAGATCAACTATCGCACACTTTTAAATTCGCTATATTGGCCGCAAAAACTTCTATTGAAGAATTACGTGCAAAATCCTTAAATGAAATTGACTTGAAAGTGTAACCGCTACGTTTACAAAAAATCGCCGTCCGTCAGCCTTCTGTCATTCTGTCACGCTGCAGGAAGATTGTAAAAAATTTAGCTGATCAATTGCATTACGGAGAGTTCAGTGAACTCGCTTTATATCCATGATATTTTAATAAAAATGACACATGTCCATACTGCGCTGCGTTTAAAAATTGTTCCGCTTTACATTATATGACATATACATATAAGTGAATGTGACAGATGATATTATATAACTTGGGATACGAAAAGAGATAGCAGCCTATAGAGTTGCTTTCTAAATACACCAATTGGCGTAATTTGAGTGTCTCGGTTTCGGTGCGCCAGTGTCATATCTACCTTGAATGTATATAATTTCATTGGCTATTATAATTGATTTTGATTTAAAACTGCGTTTCTCAAAGAAGAACACACTGCTTTTCCAAGTTGGTTTTGGGATCGTATTCATTCACCGACACATAGAATCGGGCATAAGTTGCATCTGCGCCGATAACACGGCAAGCTTACGGTATTTAACCGAATGACCGAAATGCCCGCGCCAAAAACGCGACGAGGCACCGTTAAACGTTGATTTTGCGTGAAAAATGCGAGCGCCCGTGCAACCGGTACCGGACCTCAGCCCCGAGTTTGGCGATGGCGGTGTACCCGTTATTATTTAAGGACGGACTTTAAACACTTCATTGAACAGTATAATAGTAATTAAAATTTTTAATAGTGATATCTGCACTTAAGATTTAACAATAAAAGTTGTAGAAAAGTACGAAAAGATAATCGCCGTTGTGGAAATCGAACCCGCGTCTTCGGCATTCGCGGCCTGACGCTTCAGCCACTAAGCTGATTACACACCGACGAAAATCTTAACGTCTTTTCTATACATTGTTTTTATAGCATTTGAAGAAATGCATTTAGTATAATAGTAATGCGAGCTCGATAGGCTTCAAGGCAGTGATTATCGCAAAAATTTGATCTCACATTTGTTCCATTTGCAATAAAAATAAATCAGCCACTCATTGTATACTCAGGCCTAATTGTTGATGGGCCACGCAATAGCTTCGGGTGTTGCACGAATGGGCAGAGTAGTCCAAAGAAGACCAGCGTGAAGTGGAAGATTTATATTATATCTGGCGAATGAGGTAACCGGACCCCGCTTTTAGAGTTCCATACCCAAAGGGTAAAAACCGCACCGTATTACTTCGCTGTCCGTCTGTCTGTCAGTCTGTCATCGGGCTGTATCTCATGAACCGTTATAGTTAGACAGTTGAAATTTTCACACATCATGTATTTCTGCTGCCGCTATAACAATAAATACTAAAAAACAGAATGAAAACATATTTAAATGGGGCTCCTATACAACAGGCATGATTTTTTTGCCATTTTTATAGATAATAGTACGGAACACTTCGTGCGCGAGTCCGACTCGCACTGGGCCGGTTTTTTCAAAGTCAACACATCTAAAAAGCCCTCAGGTTTTGTAGACGTTCATGAGTGGCGGTATTCACTTAACATCAGGTGAAACGCCTGCTCGCTTGACAATTTTTCACGTAAACAAAGTAACTCATTATTGCAATGTACCACAGGTATACGGCGAGTAAACACGAAAAGTGATATTCGATAACTCTCCTAAAACAAGCCATGTTAAAACGATCCATCTTCCTATGAAAGACAGAAATACCCCGAACAGTTTTAAGTGTAGTCCGTTGACTGAAAGTATGTCATCTGCTCAACATCTTCAAAACCGTCCGTCTATTTCCGATGAGAAAAACGGAAAAGATGTCCCCAACTCCGACAGTTAGGAAACCGTGGCCATTTTGCAACGTTGTTTCTTGGTTTGTATTTCATCTAAAAATAGAAGGCGACGTCTCTGTCAACGCTTTTCGCTTTTGGCGGAAATTTTTAAAATGAAAACTCTTCAATTTAGCTCGGCTCTACGGTTAATTCTACTATTTTTTACAGATGTCCCTCTTTGAAACCATATTTATTTTTTTTATTTATTTAAAAACTTTATGCACAATAACGTACAATGGCGGACTTAACACCATTAGGTGTTCTCTACCAGTCAACCGACAAATAAGCAGAGAGAATAAGGAGGTGCGAAAGAGGCAGATGAGATAGGAAAGAACATGATAATATATAAAATATTACATACATGTTACATAAATATACACGTAAAAGTGAACCATACCATTTATATCATTGTTAAAAAATTACTAAAAACATTATATGGAATATAATGTTTTTACAGTTTACGGTCGACAATTATATCTTCTTTTTAAAAATAACACAATCAACTACAATATACACAATGCAAAATATCAACAGTATGCAATCCATACCTTAATATTGTTTATCATCGTGCCTCTCAATAATGAAGTTGTTCCATCTACCATCATCATTATATAAAATCACATCATTTATAACTTTCGATTGACTATTCCCGGATGAATCTCAATACACGATTCCCTTTCTACGCATAATGCACGTTGGAGCGATTTAGTAAAGTAATAAAACGTAACGACAATAAAAGGTATTATACGTTGATTTCTTTATGATATCTCAAAGACGATGCCACATTTCACGAGAACATCTTTCTATCAATCGGCCCGAGCAAAACAAATTATTTTTAACTTAATTAAGTATATACAAACGACCGACTTGACTTCCAAACTGCTTAGACAATTTATTTATAAGTTACTTTCGTAAAACTTATTCCGCTCCCGTCTTCTACAGGGGAGGGTTAAGCGAACCTTTATAGTGTTCACTTGTACGGAAATAGCTCCTCTTAAAATATACTCATCAGCGATATAAGTAAGAAGGGTATTACTTGGTAGTATTTAACAATATATTACTTGTAACAGTCGGTCGACGAACGTTTGGAACGTTTCCACACGTGTTTTCAAACTCTTTATATCTTTTTCATTGCAGTTTCCAGTCCAATCTTATATTATAATAGCTTGTAATAAGGACACTCATTATATTTACACCAGAATAATACGCAAAATATTAATACGGAGCAAAATTTTTGTGACTCCGGTTTTCGTTAACGCATAAAACGAAAAATAACAGAGGGGACGGTTCGACTGGACGTCTCGTATTTCTCGTATTTCCGCCCGGTCCCGTTCATTCGCTCAATCTTTTGGGCTTCTCCCTTCACTCTTTTAGGTAACCTGCAAGGATTAGCATTCCATTGTTTCCATGTGACGTTTAAATTTTCGTTTAAATAAATCTTCGCTATAAATGATTTCGCAGAAGTGTTTTTTTGTTTGTTGAGTCAAACATTATTTTAAAGCTTATTTTCCGCTACTGACAATTTATTTCAAAGAAGTAAACGTAATTTTAACGTTATTCTATAACATATAAAACACTATTCGTTCACTGGTAACGGTACTATGCGAAAATTTCGTACGGGTCAATTAATTTTCAATATTATTATTTGTTAATTTTTTCCATAATAACTGTATTATTAATCAATAACTAATTTAATAAGTTTTAATTTATAGACCAAAAATACGTCTTAGCTAAATTTGAAAGCAAACGGTAAATAACTTTCAGGGATTTGCAATTATGAACAAGCGAACATAATGTTTTAAATTATATTATAGGTAAGTATCAATTATTTATTCATACTGACAAGTTATTAAAAGTTTATCCAATTTAGTTTATGTTGACTCGAAAATGATATTTTTCTTTATATTGTTATTTTTCTTAGTACTGGAGATAGTATAGAACTATTGTTGTAATGTATTAACAGCAGAACCTTTTGAAAACGAGAGAAGGAAAAAAATTAAACAATATAAAGAAATAGCCATTGGAATTTGTGGGTCGTGAGACATCTACGTCTTCGACTTTCTTTAAAGAATGATGACTGCTTTAGACCGGGTAGAAAGTAGCATTTCTAAAATATTCAAGCTATCGTACACTCACTTCAATATTTTAATTTTTACTTTAAACATAAATAAGCTAGACGTACTGCCCGCAAGACCTTCATTGAAAATTATACCCGATTTAATTCGTAGCGCTAAGATGAAGCGATGGGCCTGTCATTTACGGCTTGGTGAACCCGATAATAAATGAATACGGACGCGATAAGTTTGCTCAGCCTCATCTCGCCGACGTAAGGGTGAATGGTCTGATCGGTAACCAGTTTTCCTTAGATGGTTTCAGCTAAGTACGTATTGACCGAGACCTACTCAGCTGCGTTCGTCTCCTTTTTTTGTTAAAACTTCATCGGATTTACCTATATTTAGGACGTGTCATATCTTATCCTTTAAACGAGCAATTCTTGTATATATATATAATCGTAATCTCGGAAACGGCTCCAGCGATTTTCATGAAATTTAGTATGTGCGTAGATTCAGGGGCGAAAAATCGATCTAGCTAGGTTTCATTTTTAGAAAATGTCCTTTTATCCCTGTTTTCAGGGAATGAAAAATATAATTCGAATATGACAGTAAATTTCGCCGCAAGAGAAAATGTCATAATAGCTCGGTCGGTAATCGGGCGGCCCCAAAACAGACGGCCGAGGTTCGCGACACGATCATTTACACATTTATTCGATTCCAGATCATTGCTTTCTTTATTTTTAATTTTTTGTCGATTTGTTATTTTGTTATTTCTTTCCCTTTTTTTTTAAAGTTCTTTCTTTTGTGAAAAACATCAGTTCATATTTTCTTATTATTACGTCGGTAAGATCGAAAAATATTATGCATATTTCATTACTCAGTAATTTGTGTCTAAATGTAATTTCCAAAATACACGATTTACCAAAAGAAAAAAAAAACAAACCGAGCAAAGCTCGGTCCTCCGGGTACTATTACATTATGTGTGTAATATGTGTCGTATCCCCTTAACTTAATCTTTCTCGGATACTTCTTCTACTTTCTCGGAAGGAACACTTCTTAATACTTTTTGATTTTCGATCTACATACGACAAAAGTAAACGAAATCGACAATAGTTTTGTTATAAATTTTGATCGTACACTAGCGACCCGTTCCGGCTTCGCATGGGTACAATGTATTATAAATATAAACTTTTCTCTTGAATCACTATCTAGTAAAAAATTATTACAAAATGACAAATATTGACATTAATATTTATACGATACTAACGTCACTCAATTGTTTTGCCTTCCCGGAACCCCTCCACTAACACTTAAACTTTATGGTATGGTATTAAAGTTCAAATTAACTTTTAAGTAATATTATTAATCTTTTGTATGGGAATATAGAAAAGTGTTGTTTTTAGACTTTTTCAGGCAACTTTTTAAATTTTTCTCTCCGTGAGAGCCATCCTCGTACTTCAACGGATATTATAAAAAAAGAATTAGCGAAATTGGTCCAGCTGTTCTCGACATTTGCGCTTAACAACACATTCAGCGATTCATTTTTATATATGTATATAGAGATATATAGCCAAAAAACTTAAAGGGTCGCTTTATTTTCTTAAAACCTGTAGCCCATGTTAACAAAGTGTTAATATCACTAAATTTGGACATCTCACATCTCAGTCCACCCCGGGATCCTGAATATCACAGAACATTCTAGATATCGCGAGTAAAATTTTGAAATTAAACCCTATACTATCCATCAATATCATTTAATAATCGTTACAATTTACGCTACATGTATATTCGTAATTTCATCGATCGGTCCATATAACTCCATAACAATAAGTATTTTTTCATTCGCGTAAACACACGATCACGACGGTATGACATCAGAAGTAACGTTAAATGGAAAACAAATATCGCCTCGTTATGCACCCATATGTTTCCATTGCGTTTCATTCTCATATAGTTTAGGTGGAGTGGACGGTGTTATTTGAAAGATGGTCGTGAACAAGCATGTTGTGGTCTACATCCGCGAAATTAAGACGCCGAAGAAAGTTGGTACGGATCACATTTATTAATTTTCAAATCTTAATAAAACAAACGCTCATACTCCCGGTTTCTGAAACACTGATTCGCCATTTGACAGCTGATTAGTTAGCTTCTACGATAATCAGTGTTTCAGAAACCGGGCGATAGTGTCTAAATACGCTTGGAACTTTTGATATTAATAGTTCAAAGTATAGTTTGAGTTTTACAATTCTAGTTACAGTTCGATTTTTCTAACCGATTCTCAGCTTCCCGTTTTGATTGGTGATCTCATAATCTTAATACAAAGAGATTTATTCTGAAGAATCTTTAATTTTTGTACTTCCTGTTCTTAGTTCGGTGATGAGATTTAAGATATGGCTGGTATAAATAGTAAACATGTAATCAATGCAAGAACATTGTTTAGTGAATCTTCTTAGAAAACCAACTTTATTATTAATTTTTAACTTAATTATTAATATAAATATACTATCGAGCGAAGAAACCTTCTTCATACGAAACTAACCTTTGTATGAAACTAAATTCTTTTGGGTTTAATATAAAGGCCATTGGCTATGATTAACACTAAATTATATTAATAAAATATCAATAATATCAATTACATATTTAGTAGTAATGATATAATGATGCCCTCGCAATACATACATTTCAATTATAAAGTGAGCCTAATTACCTCATAGTGACAATATGTGCTCATTGTGTATGCAGCTTACGTAATCTAAAATGGCGACCTAGCTATACGTTAGTGCATTCTTTGGCATTAGCAGCAAATCTTATGTCACTTGCCACTAAAAATATTCTTAGCTAAATAGTTCAATTTGTCTATCTACTCGACACGATCAATGCAACAATCTTTATTGAGGTTTGTTATCAAATTAAATAGGTATTACTAATAATTATTATGATCAAAAATCAAATGAATAGTCAATAATTGATGGCAGCTCGTGTTACCAATTTGGACGCGTCATAACTTGGTATATCCTATGACGATAAGGTAGAATGTTCCAAACCTTGGAAATCTAGAAACTCGAAAAAATCCGTAAGAGTTTTTAACAATAATTATTTGAATGAGTTACAGCGGAATTAGTTTTCTTTTTTTTGGATTCACCTGATGTTAAATGATTTCCGCCGCACATGGGTATTTTTTCGCCTGGGTGGTTCCAGTTGCCAACCTTTTATAAAAGTTAACCCCGGTCACCAGACGAGACGAAAAGGTATTAAGTTTCCGTGTGTGCCGTCCCTACAACTTTTCGCGGACCTGCAACAGATTTTTTTTTTTCATTGTTTGGATTCAATACGGGTTTGTATGGTGTAAATTAGCACTTATTTTTAATAAATAAAGTTTAAAGTATGATTTTACGTCAAGTTCTTAATACTTAGTACTTTTTGCATATAATATACCAGATCTCTCCAATGCTGCCCATGAGTTTTGGCTTCGCATTTTTATATTCACTCTAGGGGTAGAGACCACAAGACCACATGTAATCGGGGTGCTCTGAGAATCTGAGAATAAGAATCCACAAGATAACATTATTTCTTGTTCTACATATGACGGCAGAATAACGTTACGATCTAAACTCACCATATGCAGTTTATACATTTTATTTAATATGCCAGACTAGAAACTTCCTAATAAAAATACCGCTTTAATAATTCATTGAGTTCAGCTAAAACTTATTCTACCTTCCAATTAAAAATCGAACATCGGAATAGTGAACTGGTTTTAGGCTGTGTTGGATCGTGAGCTAAAAAAAAACTTTTATGTTTATTACCAACGCTCCTCTATCGCAGGCTTAGCTATTCTCGTGCGTTTAGCGGGATTATTGTAACCGCTTTTTTCAGTGCCCACATGCCGACAGTGGGCAACCGCTTATCTCGAAAACGGCCCTAGCGTTACCGCTTTTTAAACGCGAACCTCGATCGATTCACCGCGTATACGTAATTAATCTCTGAACTTAGAATAAGCGATGGGAATGCAGTGTGTTGTAGTCGCTCTAGATGGACGGTTAATTGCCTAGCGCTGAGGCTAACGTCTCCATATATTAAGCAGAGCCGTTACACATGTTCTTGGTAAGATTAGATTGCAGACTGTTATACTGTATGCCTCATCTTAATTGGGCGCAATTATAATAACGATATTAAAATCGAAGTCAAAGAACGAAGGCAACTAAAATAACATTTGAAAAGCCGATGATCAGTGTTTCAGAAACCGAGCGTTAGTATTTCCTAAGACCATACTCATTACGCAATCCTTTGTTAAATTCTGCCATTTCTTTGTGACGTGTTTCGATAAATATTTATGATGTACAGGCAAATTTTCGGTCTATCATAACGTTGACCCCGATTAGACAAAAAGTGTTACTGTCGATCGAACACCCAATATTCCTGTCTCCGCATTTAATTCGCATAATTCGTTTATAACTGGGACGTTCGCTTGCGTTGCTATTCCGAAACGTGACCAGTCCTCTCGTTGACAAGCGGTTCGCACCGATTATCGGTTGCCAGCGAAAAGTATAATGCAGTGCCGGATTAAGCACGTAGAAAGAGTAGCAATTGCAAGTAGGAGAAGAGGGAATGAGAGCCAATGGACTGACCCCTGAATATGCTGACGACCGGGCAAAGTGGAGAAGTATGAGTAGGAAGGCAGACCCTGGAAATAGCCGGGATTATTCCCAGGTAGAGGAAGAAGAAAGAGTTACGATTGCTACGGGCCCCGCATATTTAAACCCACTCATCTCTGCTTGAGCCTTAATTATTTGCGCGAAACTTATAAAATCAGTAAGGGTATTGAATTGATTTTAGGGTTCCGTACCCAAACGGTAAAACGGAACCATATTATTAAGACTCCGCTGTCTGTCTGTCTGTCCGTCTGTCAACAGGCTGTATCGATAGTTGACAGTTGAAATTTTCACAGATGATGTATTTCTGTTGCCGTTATAACAACAAATACTAAAAAACAGAACAAAATTATATTCAAGTGGGGCTCCCATACAACATAGATGACTTATTTGCCGCTTTTATAGATAATGGTACGGAGCCCTTCGTGCTCGAGTCCCACTCGCACTTGGGCCGGCTTTTTTACCAATCTTTATACTTAAGAAACCATAGCAGATCAAGAGCTGTTTGAAAGAAGTCGCTACGGGCCCCGCGCTTGCGTAATCCGGCCCTGCTATAATGCAGAAATCGTGAACGACGAAATTTTCGTACGGAAAACGTCGCTTCCGCCGCTGAGTTTCTGCGTCGTGTCCGTTTGCAGTGCGGCGTCGCCCCGAGCGCTTTGTGTATTCTGGTTTTGGCTGAAAGGTGAAGTGCACAGTAGATAGATCAGACCAGCTGTACGCGCCGCGGGCGGTGGACGTGCGTGTCGCTGCGAACGTTTTAGAGCGCGAGTGAACTGTGCCCAGACTGACGTGCGTACACACGCGGTGTCGTGTCGTTTTTATCCTCGAAAGTATTACAAGTAGGTACGATCGCGATGCAGTTTTTCCCCCATTCGACGCGAGAGAAACCGACCTGGATGCGCACGAGTGATTTAACACTTTCGCTTATTTGGCGATTGTATAATTTAATTGCGTCGCGATGTGATGTTTGAGAATTTTTCATGCCAGATGGACGTTACGTAAAGGACTTGTACACCGGGTAATAACGAAACGACCTTCGCGGATAAATATGTAGAGCCCAGACGCGCAATTGTTCGCCAGACGAGAGCAAAGTTTTAACTTTAAATGCCGATTTAAAGAGAAATCTAGATATGTTTATCAAGACAGCGGCTCATATAGACATATTTAATAATATGTAAAAAAAACGTATCTTACACGAATCACCCGCGAACTGTTTTTGTTGTGATTTTGTTGGAACGTGGTAGTAGTTTAAAATTAACTCGACTCACGAATTACACCGCGGACGCCCGTACCCTTCTGAAGCGCCGATATTTTTGCAATTACTGCAATTACTGTACGCTATCTTATCGCAGACCACAGATTAAACAATGATATCGTGTAAAAATACTTCTTAGCGTTAGGATACTCTGTGCCTCGGCGTATATAACAAAATAATAAAAACTGGAGTTTCTCTTTGTTGGTGAACTTGTTAGAGGCCACGCATGTGTCACACAAGCCTATATAATCCCTACAACCACCCTTTAGATCTCACGACACTGCGAATTATTCTTTTATGAAACTAGGCTGTTTTATTACTAAAATAAAGTTAAAACAAACATAGAATAGTGTCTTAATGGTTTTCTTATATTTACACAAGTATTTTCACCTTTGTTTCGTGACTCTAGCCAGTTATTAACTGCAATTTCCTAAAGCCTCATAGCCCGTGATATGGTAGTATGTCAGTAGTTGAAAGCAGAGGAAAACTTAGAAATGTTTTCATTCAATAGAATTATTCTATTCGTTTCTTACGTTGATCAGTTACTTTCCAGTTTCAATGCAAAACACTGTACACAAGGAATGCAATGTGTCTCTCTTAGTCACTGCAGCTTTATGACTCAACTGGGTTGAAAGAAATAAAAGACATGTTGTATACATATCTTTCATACTGGAATATTTCTAGTATAAACGGAAAAGGTGTCGTATTTTGTATAGTAGACATTAGAATTTATCGACTTGGAAGACTGTATTATTGAAACTAGACTAATGAAAACAGCTGGACACATATTCGAAGATATCCAACCTAAAATTCGCACGTTGAATTATTTACAAAGCCGTTTCTCCTGAAAAGATTCCGACTGTACAAAAGAGTCCGCGTCGCAAAAACGTTTTATAATTCACCCGATTACCATACGACTCATCGAGATTTCTCTGGACCGCGTGAAAGTTATCATATATAAAGTCGCAGCTTTTAAATCTCGCTCTTTTAAACTCGAGTTTTACATAATGAGCAGTTTTCTAAACGACACGTTTCAAAGAAAATTGTTTTGGACGGCACCGCAGCATGAGTTGTTTTAATATCGACTAATTACCAATGCAATAACGAGCAATATTATAATTTAAATTGAGGTCATTAGTTACAAACATCCGAATGTGAACTTAATTATAAAGAATTATTCAGGTATTTGTTATCTAATTTCGTCAAGGAAAACGTAATCCTTATAATACGTAATAATTTCTTGTATTTACGCGATTACACATTATAAATTAAACTAATTTTACGGATTTATCGCGTTTATTTTTAATTTTAACGTCGGGAATTAAAATTAAAAATAAACGCGATAAATCCGTAAAATTAGTTTCACTTATAATACGTTCTTTAAAACAAACATCAACTAATCGTTTTCTAGCAATAACTACGACTTAAAAGGTTATTTTTTTTATAAAAAACTAAAAGATTGTTTTATCCATTTAGTAAAACATGTATCGTAATTAATATCGTATCGTAATAATAAAAAATAATATAGTTAATAATTATGAAGTCGTGTTAGTAGTTATATTCGCACCATTAGGTATTTTCAACTGTAATATTGTTTCAAATAAAATTATATAGTTATTTTTTGTAATGGGCACTATGCACGTTAGAAAAAGTAAATGCTAATGTTACTTTGATAATGTTTACAGTAGGTACTTCCATCTACGGAACAGCACATGGGCGAAATAAACTTCTAAAGTTGAAAACAAAATCAGAACATGATGTAATACCTCTAAAATAGTGTATGCGCAGTTTCAAAAAGTCATAACGCGGATCAAATCCTTCGTCTCTCCTTAGTCAATTACTTAATTAATTGCTTACTTAAGAATTTTTACCATAGTATAGCAGTTTTGTAATTTGCATTTATTTGCGCAGTTAATATCACACACGTATAGGTATGTGTTACACACATACGCGAGCGGTTGACAAACATTGACAAATGACATTGCAATTATTTTGACTAACGCCCAGTTTCTGCAACACTGATCATCGTAGAAGTCAACTAACACTAACCAGCTGTCAAATGGATTTTCAAATGCTATTTGAGTTGCCAAAAGGATTGTTAAACTCTTTGAACTGATCATTCTGATCGTTAAGATCATTCTGATCAATTCAGAGGGTTTAACGATCCTTTTGGCAAGTCAAATGAAATTTGAAAATCCATTTGACAGCTGATGCTGAGAAGTCAACTATTCTACGATGATCAATGTTTCAGAAACCGGGCGTAAGTATTGAAGCTGATCTATTCAGCGATCTGTGATTTTCATTATTATTACATATCGCCGTTGCGTTTAAAACATCCAGTATTATAAAATATCTCTCTACGTGGTCTCGTGTTCGCAATGATCTCATAGCCGCTCCTTGTTTGTCCGCCAGGGGCCGTCCGCGGCCCCTTAAAGGTAACTCGGCGTGTATTATTCGCCATTAATATAAAGCGACTCAAGGATGATCCACAATCTTATTTTCCTGGTCACGGTCGATCGTTAGCTTTGTTGTTGCGCAACATTTTTGGTTTTCATTATCCCACTTTACTTTTTTAAGTCACTTTGATCGTCAAAGTTTTGTAGCTCGATATGTGTACCTTTATTTCAAAGGAAAAAATTTTAATAGTGCCTCAACATGAAGATATCCATTCGTACGTTCGTAATTCATTGAAAGAAATAAAATAATGGTATTAAATAAAATTATTGTCAATAAGCATTCGAAAGTAGTGATTTCTCGGGTAATTTACCGCAAAGCTGAAAACCACGACAATCAAACGGTTTATTGGTCAGCAAAGAAAGTAATACAACGTACAAAACAAACGTATTTCGATGAACATCATAAACTCGGCGGCATACTTACGAATTTTTGTTAGACGAACCCTGAAACTCTTTTAGTCGGCGGTCATCGAACCTGGCCAAAAGTTAAGCGAGGCTTGCATGACAAAATCCGTTAACCGGCAAACGTTAAGGAAGCGATCGAATGCAATTTTTACTCTCCCGCTTAAACCTTTCAGATCTTTTCGCGATACGCTGCGCAATTTAGCCGCCCGGTTCATTGCCACTTAGTACAGTTTCGAGATCTAATATCTTTTGTAAACAAGTCTGCTACCAGCTGCAATAGCGTAAAACTCATACGTAACCCATCTTACGATATTTCACCGCACAAACAAGATTTTCGTGTTCAATTATAGTGTTATTACGCCCTTTTAATGATAAGGTTAAAATTACACTTCCTCTCGATGATAATAGGCTTTATATTGTTCAAATATAACATCGTTCGACTAAAAGTGTTAATTTCGTTTAACAATACTATTTTAGGGATTTTATCGCGTTTAATTTTGTTTGTTTATTCCCAACGCATTAAATAATTTACAGTAGTAGTATGTCGTAAATAATTGAAACTTTTACAATTTGGTTTATACGAAAACGCAGTTCATCGGAGTATTCGTGTTGTCTGGAAGCGGCATACTATATTTCCTATAGCCTGTCGCTATTCTAGTTTCTTTCTTCTAACGGCTAACTATAGACAGTACCTATATATCAAATCAAATTGGCGACGATAGCCGTGGGTGCTGGACCGGTCTCCTTCGATTATGCCCCCTATTGTTTGACGGATAGAGGATTAATTCGTAAATTAATTGAGATTGGCGTGCCGTAACGGTCCGTGCGACTGGCAATTCTAGTTCGTAGTCGACCGCTATGACGTCTGACGTAGACTTCGTGTTACTCTGTATGGTCCAATATCCTTTCGGTTGGCTGTAAACAAAGACGTTGCGGTTCGTTTCGTTCATCCTTTAAATGTCATTGTGACGGGTTACGACGCAATTAAATAAAAAATGCGTACGACCTCACTCAGATTCGATTAGAAGCTTAGTTAACGCAAAAAAACTAGATTTCCTAATTAGACTGCAGTTAATATTTAAACGGATTTAATTTGACTTAAGCTATTCGTGAGGCCGTTAAGGTTTTAGGTTGCTAACACTGACTCGCAGGGCTTGAAACAGTTTCCCAAATTGTTAATTATGTACGAAATTCGAAAGAGATGTTATGGCATATATGTTTTAAAAAGCTTTTCAAATCTAAACGAAAGTCGTATCACGGATCTTCGAAAGTGTTGGCCACGAATGGCGGAGTAACAATAACATTTTCCTCGCTCGTTCGTTAACGAGGTTCTTAGCAACGGGCAAAGACATGCGGTCCACTCGAGTTCTTAATTAGCCGAGCTCGAAGCGAAAGTCGAGTAATTTCGCCACATCGCAACGCAACGTTAAATCCCTCGATGTGCATCTACTGTTCACTCTTATACAATCGTCATGATTTCAATTACACGCAGTAATCTGCTGTGTTATGTCGATATTAATCTCGCCCATCCAACGGCGCAGTCATACTTTTTAAATTGAACGCAGATAAGAATGTTTACGTAA